AAACCGACACGAATTTTAATACCCTCTTCCATGTATTTTGTCACCTTAAGGATACAGTTCTTAGCAGCAACAATATGACCTGCCATAGACCCGGTACAATCCATAACAAAACAAAGATCGACTTCCATAAAGTTCTCAGAAGCTGCCATAGAGCCGGTACAATTCGTAACTAAACAAAAATCGATTTAATAAAATAAATAATTAAAAGATCTTTAAGAATAATTTCGTTGAAGTTTTATTATTTAAAATAGAAGTAGCCCGAAATTTATCAGGTATTGGCATCTATACCTATTTTTTTAATTTTTTATACAAAGTATATAATTTTTATAAAACTATTACTTTACTCTATATAGAGGACCCTGAAATCAATACATGCATGCATATTTAGTACCCTTCAGGATTTCATGACATGAAAACAAAAAAAAAAAGTTTTTATGCTGATTAAATAGGTCTGTAAGGAAATTCTATAAAGAAAAATAGGAATGGAATTAGCCCTCAATGAATCAATTTTCTTTTTTACCTTGAATCTGAACTTATTTAGAAATAAATGATGCTGGTTATCTTCTTGTCTTCAATGAATTTCATTGTTAATTTGAACAATATTAACGAGATACTGATTGTAATGGCAAATGAATGTTTAAAGTTTACACAATGATACCAAGCTTTTAAAATTGATAATTCTCTCCTAAAAGTTTCTCACAGAATCTCATAAATTAGAAATTGATTTGCATGTACATGTATGTCTGTCTATTTAATCGAGGAAATAATGGGCATAAAAAAAAAGTGATATAACGTTTTGTGATAATATGGTGATAAACTAATAATCACATTTTTTTTATACAAAAAGTGTGATTATATGATTTGACGTAAAGAATTTCAATATATTTTTCAACATGTTTGAAATTATTAATACGTATGTTATTGATCGTATTTTCAAAAAAAATGATACTCAAACAATTCATAAAACAAGAGAAGTTGATCAAGGTGGTGGAACCGTTAACGAAGACGGAATTTCACTTTATTCTTCACAAACAAGGGTAGAATTATCGAATGAAGATTTTAATGATCCAAAACGAAAAATAAAAGGGCTCAAAACCCAGGAAGATGAATTAAAAGAAGAGAAAAACAAAAATGAAATATTGAACAAGCTCAAAACACTTGAAAGTAATTTGTCAAAAGAGAAAGAAATTAAGGAACAACTGAAACAAAATCATACAAAAGCAAAGCAAGAATTCGACTTAAAATTAAAAAGATTAGAAAATGAGGTTAAAAAATATAAACGACGTTATGAAGAACTTGAATCGCAAAAACGAAATATGGAGCAAGAATCCGTTAAAGAGAAAAAACAAGTGGAACAAAATTATACAAAAGCAAAGAAAGAATTCGAATCAAAATTAAAAAGCTTAGAAAATGAAGTAAAATCTCATAAACAACGTGCATTGCAAATACGAAATAAGGAGCAAGAATTTGTTAAAGAGAAACGAATTATGGAGCAAGAATTTGTTAAAGAGAAACAAATTATGGAGCAAGAATTTGTTAAGAAGAAACTAATTATGGAGCAAGATTTTGTTAAGGAAAAAGAAGATTACGAGAGGAATATCGATAATTTAGAATTAAACTTAACGAAACAAAAGAAAAGTTTCGAACAAGTATTGCAACAAGCACAAGAAAGATTTAGTAAGAATCTTAATACTATACAAAAAAAATTAAATGATAAGGGAAACGGCTTAGGTGAATTAGAAAAAGAAAATGCCAAACTTAAAAAAGAGGCCTCTAAATACCAATCGGCCCTTGGTGTAGCGACAAATACTCGGCTTGATGATGATGAT